ACTTCTAATGCTGCTCAGCAAGTCAATGCCTCAAGCTAGAGCAGGAATTCATTATAAAGGAATGACCCATGGAATGTTGAAACCAACAAGGTCTTCATATATCATGGAAGAAATTAAGCTCCACTAATACAGGGTCAATAATCCAGGGCTAATTTCATTTTGCAGTGGTTCAGCAAGTGAGTGACCCATATCTCAAGATAATATTGAGGTGATAGATTTGGAGAGGATTTTTAGAACTTTTGTAGACCAAAAATTATTTCATCTGCAAGCCAGCCATCATGTACACCTTTAGCACGTATACTGAGTGCAAAAAAAGTACCTGTCTTGTGTACACAATGGCTATGATTATGCTCAGAGAGAGAGAGAGAGAGAGAAGTGTTTTCTGATCTTCGTGCAGTTTCAAGGAATTTTACAGCTGAGAAAGTTGGCAGATTCTAGCTACTACCTTTCCTGTGCTGAAGCGGGGTTCTGCATGCTGGCCATTGGAAAACCTTTCAAATAAGGTACATTCATACACATCAGCTGTTCAGGATGAGGACAAATCACCATTTATTTGATAGGACTGTGCACACTGACCCATAGAGGCCTGTGGCTGTGGGAATCAAAACCAATTAACTTACTCAATTTCCATTGGCACGAACTGCCTCAATCAGTTGTCGAAGATGATTTCAGGCACCAGGCTAGCCCTGCCTTTGCTGACTGATCTGATTCCTGTTTCATCAATGCAGAACATCACATTGCTGCAGTCACTGAGTGATAAACAGCTCACCTACCCAGAAGTTAATTTGGCTCCCCCAATCAACACTATGTTGTCATGCCTTCAAAATGGGGATGGAGACCTCTGGCCCCTCAGTTGTTGCTGGATTGCAGCTCCCATCTTCCCTGACTACTGGCCAAATTGGCCGGGGCTGATGGGAGATGGAGTCCAATAACATCTGGAGGGCCACAGGGTGTGCACCTCTGCCTCAGAATGAAAGGCTTTCTTCAAGAACAGCACAAGCAGGTTTACCAAGCTGAAGATCCAAATTGTTGCCTTTAAATTCCTCCATCTGCCTGTCTGCCATAATTATATTCTACGTTTCTATCCTTTAAGGAAGTTCAAAGCAAATGCACATTTTTTAAAAGGGGGGGGTCTCCAGTGTACAAGAAAATGCAGAGCTGGTCCTGCCATTAGGCAGAATGGGGAAGCTGCCTCAGGCAGCCAATTTGGGTTGTCATGAAAGGGCAGCAAATTGCTACTTATTTCATTTGTTGTTGTTTTTTATTATTGTTCATACTTTTGCTGGTGGGGGGGGGGAGGTGCTTGTAGGATTTTCTGTTTCATGTGCCAAGATAGCATGACTCACCTTAGGTGCTATTGACCTACACTCATATTTTTTACACACCGATTTAGATTCCTCACCAAAGGAGTTGCTTAACAAAATATAAACACTCAAAAAGAAGTAGAGAGGCGCTAGAGGAGGAGTTGTCGTCGCAGCACCCCTTGTTGTATGGCGTACCGCAGGGTGCAATCCTCTTCCCGATTCTTTTTAACATTTTTATGCAACCCCTTGCCCAGCTTGTCTGGAATTTTGGGCTGGATTGTCATCAATATGCTGATGACACCCAGCTTTATCTGTTGATGGGCAGCCACCCTGACTCGGCCCTGGACACACTGACCAGATGCTTGGAAGCTGTGGTTGGATGGCTGCGTGGGAGCCAGCTGAAGTTAAATCCTTCGAAGACAGAGGTCCTCTGGCTGGGTCGGGACGACACGGGGTTGGGGCGCCAACTCCCATCTCTTATGGGGGCTCAATTAGTGCCAGCGCCTTCCGTCAGGAGTTTGGGTGTAACCTTGACGCTTCCCTCTCTATGGAGACTCAGGTTGCAGCTACAGCGAAGGCGGCATTTTCCCACCTTTGCCGTGCTAAGCAGCTGGTCCCTTACCTTTCTCGCCCTCATCTAACCACAGTGATCCATGTGATGGTCACCTCCAGGCTCAATTTTTGTAACTCGCTCTGCGCGGGGCTGCCCTTGAAGCTGACCCAGAAACTCCAGCGGGTGCAGAATGCTGCTGTGAAGCTCCTTACGGGGTCCTTGCCGCAGGACCACATTCACCCAGTGCTTTTCCAGCTGCACTGACTCCCGATGGAGTACAGGGTCAGGTTTAAGGTGCTGGTTTTAACCTTTAAAACCCTATACGGCCTAGGACCCTCGTACTTATGGGACCGCCTCTCCTGGTATGCCCTACGGAGGACCTTACGGTCCACAAATAATAATATCTTGGAGGTCCTGGGCCTCAAGGAGGTTAAAATGGCCTCAACCAGGGCCAGGGCCTTTTCGGCTGTTGCCCCACCCTGGTGGCACACACTATCTCAGGAGACCAGGGCCCTGCAGGACTTGACATCCTTCCGCAGGGCCTGCAAGATGGAGCTGTTCCACCTGGCCTTCAGTCTGGGCCCAGTTTGACCCCCCCTCTATGGGACCCTGTAAGTTCCCTCTTTGGCCTTTTATCAGCTCATGTGGGACCAACATGGATATCTGACCCTGATGAATACTTGAGGTTCCCAATCCCTATGGTTGTAATTCATGGGCAGTCATTTAATTTTATCCTGATTCTAATTTTTAAGCTGTATTTTAATCAATTGTTTGATTGTGTTTTAATGTATTTGATATTTGAGCCCGGTCTTGGCTGGGGAGGGCAGGTATAAATAAAAATTTACTTAATAATAATGATCACCTCATCATTGAACAACAACAGAGGACAAAAAAAGAACATTTGGGACCCAGGTAGCCAGAGCAAACAGTAAATGAATTTAGTGGTATAGAATCAATGGCTCCTTTAAATGACTTAAATCACTAGCGGAACACAGAAGACAAATTACTCTTGCCTCTTGGGGCAGGGAGCTCTGCATGTCGCAGAGATGGGGAATCTCTGGCTATGCAGGCCCCCATGAAAATCATACATGGTACATATTGGAAAACTAATAAAAAATATTTATTTTTAAAAGAAAATCATACATGGTGCTTTGCAAGCCCTGGTCAGCTGATAATCAGCTTGCAAAGTACACAGCAGATCACCGGGGCTTGTATAGCAACCAATTCAGTGGTTGTCTGTGCAGACCTTTTCAACCACTGCATTGTGGGAAGTTTAAAAAGAAATATGTGAGTTGCTGCGTTGTATCCTGGCAACTGTAAGCCCAAGATACTCGTAGAATGTGGAAAAAGCCTTTTTAAAAAGCCAATAAGACCTTAATATTGTCTTAGAACAATTAAGCAGCAATGTAACTAATTAGCAAGTCCGCTGAATTCTTTAGTGAATAACAGGCAGCTTGGAATACTGCAATTATGGTCAATATGTGAAAAAAGTGGGGGGGGAGTTGGAAAAGGTGAGGAAAGGGGATGACCATAATGATCAGAGGGTCTGGAGCAACTGCTCTATGGGGAAACATTAGAATATTGGGGTTATTTTATCATTAAAAAGAGAGTAAGCTGGGACATGATAGAGACACATACAACAATTCCTTTGTGCTACAGTCAATTAGGAAAAGCCATGACATGATTCTGAAGAACTAAGTATGAATGGATTTGTGCCTGCACCTTCTAGGAGAACTGGAATCCACATGGCTCTGTGTCGTGGTGTGTTCTGAATCCACAAGATTTAGCCGTAAGGATGTTTAAAGTGACAGAACACAAGAAAGTATATGCAACAAGCTTTGTGGGGTATAATGGCACCCCTGGAATCACAGCACATCATTGTGAACACCACTTTAACTTCTGCTACTTCAGCTCTTGAAATATGCATTATTTCATGAGTGAGTTAAGTGCATCGTTTAAAGTCATTCCTTTAAATAAAAACATGTTTTTAACATTTATATTCAAATCCAATTCAGTGAGCATACCTCAAAACCAGAGCTCAGCTTTACAACATCTGCCTTGCATGCAGAAGGTTAATAATAATAATTATTATTATTATTATTCATTGCTTGTACCCTGCCCATCTGACTGGGTTGCCCCAGACACTCTTAACAGCTTCCAACACACAATACCTAAGACATTAGAAGCTTTCCAATATGGGGCTGCCTTCAGATCTCCAAGGTTCAATCCATAGTGTCTCCAGGTAGGGCTGCAGAAATCTCCTACCTGAAACACTAGCAAGTCCCTGCCGGTGAGAATAGACAATAATAAACAAGTTGGACCTATAGAATGTCCTAACTTTCTGAGGAATGTTGGAGGGCATGTCAATGGACCAATTCAGAATCAGGCAGCTTCTTGTGTTCCTAATGACCAAACCACTGCTCACCGTTTGGCAAGGAAGAGCACTCCAAACCATGTTCCAAAGGAGCTGGGGCTATGAAATTGTTGATAAGGAGACACTGGCACAAAGGAACTTTAGCCCTGTTGTCATATGCACACCTATACACCATTCGGACCACATGAGGGAGGCAGTGAGGACAAGTCTGTTGGCCCCAAAACACTCCAGCATACCTTATGGTCTATCCCTACTCCTCTCCATATATTGGGGCCTGAATGTCTGCAGCGGGGAGTGCAAAATAAATAAATAAATAAATAAATAAATAAATAAATAATACCCCGCCCATCTGGCTGGGTTTCCCCAGCCACTCTGGGCGACTTTCAACACAATATTAAAATACAGTAATGCATCAAACATTAAAATCTTCCCTAAACAGAGCTGCCTTCAGATGTCTTCTAAAAATCTGGTAGTTGTTCTTCTCTTTGACATCTAGTGGGAGGGCGTTCCACAGGGTGGGTGCCACTACCGAGAAGGCCCTCTGCCTGGTTCCCTGTAACTTGGCTTCTCGCAGTGAGGGAACTGCCAGAAGGCCCTTGGCACTGGACCTCAGTGTCCAGGTAGAACGATGAGGGTGGAGACGCTCCTTCAGGTATACTTGTGTAGACACCCCTTGGTATTTGGAACATAAACATAGGCTTGTAGAGTTGTAGAGTTGGAAGGGACCCAAAGGATCATCCAGTCCAACCCTAATGCAGGAATATGCAGTTGTTCCATACAGGGATTGAACCTGCAAGCTTTGCATTATCAGCACCACACTGTAACCAACAGAGCTAAACTATGGTTTCAGACAGGGCCCATTCTCAGTCCTACCTTAAGATGCCAAGAATTGAACCCGGGACCTCCTGCATACAAAGTCAATGCTCTACCACTGAGCTATGGCTCTTCCCTATATGTATACAGCACCATGCACATATCTAGATTAAAGAACCTGACAAATGTCATACCTTTCTTTTCTTCCTCCCTTGAAGTTTCTCTGCCCAGTTAGCTCAGCCTCCTGTTATTTGCCCTGATGCAGTCTTCACCAAGTTGGCATTGACTGAACATTTTCTTATTTGATAACTCTTTTGATGCTGTCCAAAGCTATTCCCATTGGGTTCTCCCAAACAGCTATTCTATCCCCACCCATCTTAATCAGACATATAATCGCTGAATGGCTTCAGGGTGAGGACATGAGAAGAGTTCTTGCAATGAGTGCTTAGAGTAAAACTGTCAAGTTAATTGCTAGCAGTGGCTTTAATGGGCAATGCCTTTGTTGCATTAAGCCTGCGTTAATTATTCCATTGTAGGAAGCTGACACTATAGTTTCAAAACTACATGTCAGTGGAGTAGCTGGAATCAAAACTCAGGCATCTGTCATCCATCTTTCCAGAATGTCAAAACTGCCTGCACCTAATGATAACTTACCCAGTCTTTCCTCCACCACCTCCTGCAAAAAGAACCAATTTTATGAGGGGCTGATGTGCTCCATTGTGTGAATATTATTTCGCATATCTTCCTAGCAGAAATAAAATCCCAAACCTTGTGGGACAAAAACTGTGAGCCAGTTCAGTGGCTTGTAAACTAGTTTTGTCCTTCAGTGAGCATGGGTTACCTTTGTGCTAGGAATCGGTGGTGTGGTTGTCTGTGATCGTGGGGGTGTGTGGTTAGAATATATTGGAGCGCTTGGCCCAGTATACCTGAAGGAGCGTCTCCACCCCCATCGTTCTGCCCAGATGCTGAGGTCCAACACCGAGGGCCTTCTAGAGGTTCCCTCACTGCGAGAAGCAAATCTACAGGGAACCAGGCAGAGGGCCTTCTCAGTAGTGGTGCCAGCCCTGTGGAACCCCCTCCCATCTGATGTCAAAGAGAAAAATAACTACCAAGCTTTTAGAAGACATCAGGGAAGTTTTTAATGTGTGACATTTTAATGTATTTTTAATCTTTGTTGGAAGCCACCCAGAGTGGCTGGGGAGACCCAGACAGATGGGCAGGGTACAAATAATAATGTATTATGATGATGATGATGATGATGATGATGATGATGATGATGATGATGATTATTACATGTACACACAGAGAAAATAGTAGATGTAGCTGAAAGACAACAAATGGAATGATCTCCCGTCTTTTCCCTCTGTTCATGATTCTCCCAAACCTTCCCAGAGTCATGTATAGGAGCAACAGATGGGGGAAGTCACATTGCGCATGCAGTCCTTATGCAGGGCTTCCATTGATGGGGCTCTCTAGGTGAATCCCATCCTATAGAACAAGCATGGGCAACCTGTAGGCCTTCAGATCCTGTTGAACTTCAACTCCCATCTGCACTAGCCAGCATAGACAATAGCCAGGGGTGTTGGGAGTTATAGTCCAACTGCACCTTGAGCGACGCAGGTCCCCCACCCCGTTCTAGAATACATAACTGCAGTTTTGCTTTAGTTTTTAATATGGAAGCATTGGCTACCCATGAGCTTTTGCTTAGGGAGTGAAAGCCGCATATTTACAGCTGCAAACAGGTATCAACGTAAGAGAGTCTGGCAAGACCAGGGAATCTAGTTCAGCATTCTGTTCTCACAGTGGCCAAGTAGATGCCTACAAGAAGCCCACAAAGAAGACCTGTGTGCAATAGTACTATCCCCACTTGTGTTTCCCAGTCACTGGTGTTTCGGATTATTATTATCATTATTTGTTGAATTTAAATTCCACCTTTTCCTAAAAGGAGCTCTAGGTGGTGTACAGGGTTCTTCCTCTGCTCTTTTAATCCCCACAGTAACCCTGTGAGGTGGGTTAATCAATGACTGGCCCAAAGTTGCCCAGTGCACTTCATGTGGCTAAGTGGAGATTCGAACCCAGGTCTTCCAGGTCGGAGCCCAACACTCTTACTGTTACACCATACTGGCTTTCTCAGATGTATAGCAGCTTTGATACCAGAGGTGATACATAGCCATAAGGACCAGCAGTCATTGATACCTTTATTATCCCTTGAATTTGTCTAAACACTTTTTAATGCCATTCAGGTTCATTAGTACATGTGGAGTGTATGTTCACAAGGGAGCTGTAGCCAAACCTGGTTTTCTGAAAAATATACTTCTATGATGCATATGCGGCAAATGTGTGTCTACCTTCTTGGATTTTAATGGTATGTTAATAATAATAATAATAATCACTTAGGTGTGCACCTAAAAGTACTGTGAAGAAAACCAGTGTGTTCCAAGAAATTATGGATGATTTCCACACACAAAGAGGGGGGAAAGCAATGCCTCATTGCACTTGGTGTTGCAAAATTAAGCTTGGTCCATCCAACCCCAGCTCCTCACTCTGCACAACAGAATCCCATGCAGTGCTTTGAATAGCATCTTCTGATAAGCACCCAGTTAAGGAGTTCTATAGGGAACCAGTTGAGCATAGCAGGCTAGCTTTAAATATAGAACCATGCACAAGGGTGCCATTTTTCTTCTTATCCAGAACAGTTTTTGAAGGTTTTTTCTTTTTCTTTTAAAAAAAGGACATGCACATATGCACTTCTGCAGGAAAAAAACCAGATAAATTTAAAAGGCCTCATTGCCTTTAAAGGGACAGGAAGCAATGCAGACTAATGCTAGGAACTGAACTAATTTGAAAACTAACAAATCGGAAATTTCAGCCCTCATATCTGTTTTTAGGAGAAGTGCCCCAAGCATACAATGTTAATCTTCAACACACCAGAGTTATTGTTTTTATTTATTTATTTATTTATTTATTTAATCGTGACTTAACTTATTTTTGAGCATTTTCAATCAGTCTACTCTGAGATGGATTTTGTCAGCCACCATCCATGATGGTGAAGTTGATTAGCGTAAGCTCTGGGGGACTTACAGCAATCGAAATAGTAAAGTCAATAAACCACAAAACAATAAAATCAGCGTACAGATTTCAACATAAAGATTTCACCACCACAGAGTAAAGCAGCACAGAACAGTACTCTGCATCACTAAAAATATGCAGATCTAAAGTGCAGTGTTGCCAACAAAGATCCATATAGTTAAAGCTATGGTTTTCCCAGTAGAATCATAGAATCATAGAGTTGGAAGAGACCACAAGGGCCATCGAGTCCAACCCCCTGCCAAGCAGGAAACACCATCAGAGCACTCCTGACATATGGTTGTCAAGCCTCTGCTTAAAGACCTCCAAAGAAGGAGACTCCACCACACTCCTTGGCAGCAAATTCCACTGTCAAACAGCTCTTACTGTCAGGAAGTTCTTCCTAATGTTTAGGTGGAATCTTCTTTCTTGTAGTTTGGATCCATTGCTCCGTGTCCGCTTCTCTGGAGCAGCAGAAAACAACCTTTCTCCCTCCTCTATGTGACATCCTTTTATATATTTGAACATGGCTATCATATCACCCCTTAACCTCCTCTTCTCCAGGCTAAACATGCCCAGCTCCCTTAGCCGTCCCTCATAAGGCATCATTTCCAGGCCTTTGACCATTTTGGTTGACCTCGTCTGGACACGTTCCAGTTTGTCAGTGTCCTTCTTGAACTGTGGTGCCCAGAACTGGACACAGTACTCCAAGTGAGGTCTGACCAGAACAGAATACAGTGGCACTATTACTTCCCTTGATCTAGATGCTATACTCCTATTGATGAGGCCCAGAATTGCATTGGCTTTTTTAGCTGCCGCGTCACACTGTTGGCTCATGTCAAGTTTGTGGTCAACCAAGACTCCTAGATCCTTTTCACATGTACTGCTCTCAAGCCAGGTGTCACCCATCTTGTATTTGTGCCTCTCATTTTTTTGCCCAAGTGCAATACTTTACATTTCTCCCTGTTAAAATTCATCTTGTTTGTTTTGGCCCAGTTCTCTAATCTGTCAAGGTCGTTTTGAAGTGTGATCCTGTCCTCTGGGGTGTTAGCCACCCCTCCCAGTTTGGTGTCATCTGCAAATTTGATCAGGATGCCCTTGAGTCCATCATCCAAGTTGTTGATAAAGATGTTGAATAAGACCGGGCCCAAGACAGAACCTTGTGGCATCCCACTAGTCACTCTTCTCCAGGATGAAGAGGAACCATTGATGAGCACCCTTTGGGTTCGGTCAGTCAGCCAGTTACAAATCCACTGAGTGGTAGCATAGTCAAGACCGCATTTTACCAGCTTCTTTACAAGAATATCATGGGGCACCTTGTCAAATGTCTTGCTGAAATCAAGGTAGGCTACATCCACTGCGTTCCCTTCATCTACCAGGCTTGTAATTCTGTCAAAAAACAAGATCAGGTTAGTCTGACATGACTTATTTTTCAGAAATCCATGCTGACTATTGGTGATCACAGCATTCCTTTCTAGGTGCTCACAGACTGTTTGCTTAATGATGTATAAAGTAGTGATGAATGGAAGTGAGAGCTGGACCATAAAGAAGGCTGATCGCTGAAGAATTGATGCTTTTGAATTATGGTGCTGGAGGAGACTCTTGAGATTCCCATGGACTGCAAGAAGATCAAACCTCTCCATTCTGAAGGAAATCAGCCCTGAGTGCTCACTGGAAGGACAGATCGTGAAGCTGAGGCTCCAATACTTTGGCCACCTCATGAGAAGAGAAGACTCCCTGGAAAAGACCCTGATGTTGGGAAAGATGGAGGGCACAAGGAGAAGGGGACAGCAGAGGATGAGATGGTTGGACAGTGTTCTCGAAGCTACCAGCATGAGTTTGACCAAACTGCGGGAGGCAGTGGAAGACAGGAGTGCCTGGCGTGCTCTGGTCCATGGGGTCATGAAGAGTCAGGCACGACTAAACGACTAAACAACAACAAGTGCAGTGGCTTCAGAAACTACCAGTTTAAAATGCTAAATGCTTGTCCTACTCTTTCATTTCATCACAGAGTCTGAACGGTTCCATTTCTTTTCACAAAAACACCAGTCGCTTGAGCAGTG